ATTGCTCCCACCTGTCCTCCCCACCTGTCCACTCCTCCCACCTGTCCATTGCTCCCACCTGTCCTCCCCACCTGTCCACTCCTCCCACCTGTCCACTCCTCTCTGGCTGCACAGGGTTTCTCTCCATTCCTCTACCCAGAATATTCCTCCTGATTTTTCACACGCTGCCTCTTTTTTATTGTTCAGACTTCAACTTAAACCTCACCTTCTCCAAAGCCCTTCCCCAGCCACCAGTCAGAAGTAGCCCCCATGCCCTGTCCTATGCCTGTTTTAGTACCTCTTTAATTCCTCTGCAAAGCACTTAATCACTGTCTTACACTTTTGTTTGCTATCTGTCTCCTGCTGAGATATGAGCTTTGCCTCCTGCCTCGTTCACTCCGGCGCCTGTAACCCACAGCCCTGGGCTCCCAGTAAACATGCGCTTTGAACGCCTGTAACCCACAGCCCTGGGCTCCCAGTAAACATGCGCTTTGAACACATAGTGGCGGGGCCGTCGGCTGCACAAGGACACCTGGTGCTGGGAGAGTCTGGGCCTGACAGATAGGTTTGCTCTTTGCTGTTGTCGTTGCTGGGATGTCAGGTGCAAGTACCCCTGTGTGGGACGTGACGAAGTTCAGAGAGATTGAGAGCGTGCTTTTCCAGTTAGGAGCCCACGTTGGCCTGCCATTAAGCCCTTCTGATGGCAGGGAAGGTGGCTGGGTTGTGGTGGGAAGCCCTCGTGGAAGCTCTGGCAGCAGCTAGCTGCACTGGAAAGTTCTAACTGATGAAATTATGAAAAAGAACAGTGCAAAAGTTGTATTCACTGCAACCGTTGCAGGACCTCAGTCTTGAGTGGATTCTTGCTGGGAACAGACTCCATGAGACAAGGGCATGTTCCTTCTTCCTTCCACGAAGCCACTAGCGCGTTTTTGACCCTCCACCGGCCTCTTCCTCCTGTGTCCACCAGGGGGCGAGAGGGGACTGAGCCTCTGTCCCGCCTGGGGGTGTTGCGCCTCCCTCCGCCCCAGGGACACCGTTCATTGCCCTGTAGCCCATTTACTGAAGGCGAACTACTTTCTCTGAGTACCCGATAACAGCCAACACCTGCACGATGCTTGTTGTGGGCTGGAGTACTGGTCTAAGTGCTTTACCTAGATTAACTTTCATCCTCACAGCCAACCCCAGAAGTCTTATTCTCATTTTACAGATAAGGAGACTGGGACACATAGAGGTTAAGCGACCTGCTCAAGGTCACACAGTTTGGCAGTGATGGAACCAGGCTGCAGACCTGTGTCTACCTGTGTTGGTGCCACTGAACTCTAAGCTGTACAGCCTCTTATTTGGCATAGTGGCTGAGACCAAGTAAGCCCTCGATAAATGGGTGATTATTATTATTATTGTTAAAAATTGTCATATCTCAAGGGCAACATAAGTAACATAAATATCTGTACCCCCATAATATGCTGAAATAAAAAAAAAAATTGCCATATCTACCCTATGAGGTAGATACTATTATTTCTATTATTATTATTTTATTAACAATTAATAATATTATTTTAAATTGAGGCAAAGAGAGGTTAATTTCCCCGAGATTCCATACATAGTTAGAAAATCACAGAAATAGGTTTCAAACTAAGCCTTTCTGATTCTGGAAGCTGAGCTTCTAGACAGAGAGCACACTCCCCCCGCTGCCGTTCTGCACCTGCTCAGTTCCTGCGGGTGTCCCAGTGGGCATGGTCGCGGGGGACGGGTCCCGCTGTGCGTGGATGTGTATCCTACTTGGATGGCCATCAGGAAACGGGTAACGGGGGCCGCAGGGGTGCCCCTCGCTTTCCCAGCAGCCCCTCCTGAGCGCCGGCCCTAAGGAGAGATCTCCCAAGAGACGCAGGGAGAGCAGCCCTGCCATTCAGGCCGAGGCTTAAGGGGGAAGAGGGGCGCGGGGCCGTGCGAATCACCTGCCTCATCGTCGGCTTAGAGCGTTTGAAAACTGTTTTGTCTGTTGACTCAGGTGTGGCCAGGCCCTGGGAAGTTATGGAATTTATCATTGTTGTTCCTGGGAGACATCTACTTCCCCACCCCACCCAGCGGTTTCTGTTTCAACATTCTTCCCAGGTGGGCAGCAGGGGTGGCGCCTCACCTGTGCTCCTGGGCTGCTCCCAGAATGCTGCCCTTGTTGCTTCTGTGTGCTTTCTCTGCCTGTCCAGCTGACTCTCGCATGAAACTGTGCGCTTAACCCGTCGAGGCCTGAAGCCCTGCTGGATTTGGGGTCCAGTACTCGTAACCATTCTTCTCTTGTGTCCAGGGCATTTACATCTGAGCTCCATGACACCGCTTCAGTGGAGATGACGCAAGGATTATCACCCCCTTTTATAGATTAGAAACTGACACTTAGAGAGGACAGATTTCTTTCTGAGGTCACATGGTTAATTAGTGGAAGCTGTTGGTCCTGAAGCAGGTTGTTCACCCTGTCATATGTCAGTGGAATGCCCTGAATCCTGCATGACTTGGAAAGTCCAGTGATCTCTGAGGAAACACCATGAGGGAGCTCTCGTCTGAGATAGATGGATATTAATAGATATTAATAGATAGATGGTAGATGGACAGGAAGAAAATGTCACAAGTTTCTTTCTCCATTAAACATTCCCAGCTCACTTTCATACTCTGCTGGTCGGCATGGGAAAAGCCTTTATGGAGTTCATTTTCGACAATAGCTACCCAGATTTCAAATGCGCATGCCCTTTGATCCAGCAATTCCACCCCCAGGAATTTATCCTTTAAATACTTTGAAATCTTGGATGTACAGTGTTGATTGCAAAAGCAAGAGATTGGGAACATCTTAAATGTCCATCAGTAGGGGACTAGTTAAATAGATTGTGAACACCTACAATGCTACCAAAAAACCCAAAACTTCTAATATAGAACTATCTCTAAGGCATATTGTTTGGTGAAAAAAAGCAAGGTGCTAAAAAAAGAGTATAGAACGTGCTACCATTTGGGGAAATGGGGGAAGTGTACATCTGCGTACTGATTGTGTATGCACAGACTATCCGGAAGGACACAGGGAACCGAGCCCTGGCTGGCTCCGGGAGGAGAGCCGGGTGGCCGGGAGAGGAGAGTGCCGGTGCCCACTGTCCTGCACACCCTCTCACACCTTGTGAATACTGAAGAACTCTGAATGTGCATGCTTTGACAATTCAGCAGTAAAGAGGTAAACTAATTATCCTTTCCCACACACCTTGCAGGCAGGCTGCAGTGCCACCAGGCTGCCCGGCGACGGACAGACGAGCGCTGGAGACGCACCCCTGCAGGAGCCCCCCTCATACCCTCCTGTTCAGGTCATCCGGGCCCGAGTGTCTTCCAGCAGCTCCTCCGAGGTGTCCTCCATCAACTCCGACCTGGAGGTACACGGCCGTTGCCTGCCGGGCGGGAGCATGGGTGCTGTCATTCACCAATACTCGCCGGATGCTCCCTGGGGCTTGCACGGCTATTCTCTAATCTTGCCCTTGCTAACCTCATGCACGCTAAATAACGAACAAACCTCCGCGGGGCTCCCGCGGTCTGTGTCAGTACTGAGAAAGGTCTCCACCGTCACATTAGTCAGGGGGACACTGCATATTGGAGTCCAGTCTTCACGGATCACTTACACAATAAACACCTGAATAATAAATTTCTAAAAGTTTCCCAAGCCCGTTGGACCATGGAAGCTTTTCCCCCCTGAGAAACACCAGCTATGTCCTGTTGTGCTAGGGGTGTCAGACACAGGTGGGCCCTGTTGTGGGCACCGTGCCCAGCATTTTTATGAACTTTACTTCATTTTGAGTTTTTGTATCTGTGAACAAAGCGCGTGTCACATCTCGGATACACAGACAGGCATAACTCTCAGGTGTGAGCCGCCCCAGCGCGCTTGGTCCCACAGCTGTGCTTCCCAGCCCCATTGCGTGAGGAAGTTTCCGTTTGTCTGTGGAAAAATGAGAACAAGGACAACGTAGTGGCCACTTGAATGTCAGGAGACGGTTGCCAGCTGTCTTTTTTGGCGGTGGAGGAAGGACTGTCTTTCATTTTTCAGTTTGTGTCCTCCCAACTTTTTTGGTGTTCAATGCCCTTTTATGAAATGGTGGTAATAGTAAGTGGTAGTTGATGTTGTGGTATTGGTTTGGGTTTTAATGGCCTTATTTGGCAAAATAATCAATTAGCCATCTTAAGTCCCTCAAGTTTGTTGAACTTATGCTGGACCCTGAGATCTGAAACTCAGAGCCACTGACCATGAGATAAAGTCCAGATTCCTCAGTATGACATTCCAGACCTTTCACAGCCTGGCCAGCCTCGCGCACCGCCCTGCCCTCACCTCTGCCCTGGCCGGGGACCCTTCTCTGTCCTCAGGCCTCTGGGCCTCTCTTCCCGGGGTTCCCTCTGGCCCCATTTCCATGGGTCAGAAGCCTACCCAGAGAGTAGTGGGTAGGATTAATCTCCCCCCAGAAAGGAAGGGCTCCTTCCTCTAAGTGCCGTGAGCACATACTTCTCTTACACAATTTCCAGTGCTGGCCGTGTAGCCTGGTGAGCTGTGGGCCTGGGTCGCCTTCGACTTTCTCTGTCCCTTGATCCTGGGATGCAGCTGCCATTGAGAGCTGGGTTTGAGTTAGGAATTCTGTATCCTTTGAGCTTGTACTCTGCGTCATTCTGTGCTGTGTATTTCTTGGATCCAGTCTCAGAATTTGTAGGGTGCCCAAGGCCCATGCCTTGGCAGCCTGGAACCAGCAGTCTTGGCAGAGATCTAAGGCTAAAGGGGAAAGGATTGAGCTTGACAGCAAAGTGTGTTCAGTGAGGAGAAGGGACAATTAAGTTGGTGAGTCAGGAAGGGGCTGGGGGGAGGGGGAAGCAACATTTGTTCAGTGGAAACGCGCAGTTTTTACCACCCACCGTCAATTGAGATAAGGACTGGACGGTGAAATTGAAAATTTCCAAAACTTGTCCTTATAGCTTGTTTGGGCCCTTTTTCTGTTTTGTAGTCCTTGTTCTTCCTCTACTCTCTTATCTCTCTCTGTTCTTGAAATCTATTGCTTAAAATACGTACATTCCAAGGGGACAGGGTCACACTCTTAAATTGGGCAAATGAATGCTTTTACCTGTGTTAAAGGGATATACGTTACAAGCTCAGCTGCCCCGGCCTACCCTCCCCTAATCCCTCCTGCGTCCCAGCGCAGTCTTCCTGCTTCACACCCTAAGACATACGGACACTGCAGATGACAAAGCCACTGAGGTCCTGTAAAGAGACAGCTTAACGCTTACTAAACGTAGATGCTAGCAGGCCGAACAGGATAGTAAAGCTCCCAGTATAGATTGTTTAGTATATGAGCAGGAGACCTTCTGTTCACGTATGTGATCCGTTGGGCCTTCTGGTCATCTCTATTTTCTATTCTTAAAAATAATACATGTTTTTGGTAGAAAATTTGGCAAATGCGAACAATGCAAAGAAGAAAATTAAAAATAACCCCCAAGCTCACCAAACCAATGAATAGCTGCCTCCAGGTGGTGGGACTGGGCATGCTTGCCGCGCTTCTGTTCTCTTGAAGCAATGTTCCTTGAGGGTCCTGGGTCATTGGTGGCTGAATGTGAGCCAGAAGGCGTCTCTGAGCAGATGAGTGCCACAGTGCCCTTCACCTGGCCATTGGGTCACTCCTTCAGCAAACGTTTTGTTAGGGTGGGAATTTGAAAGACACACGAGTGAGGACAGATGGTCTGGCCCGAACCCACCTCGCAGGGGTGGGCTCCTTGGCAAACTGGCCACAGCTGAGAGTCTGAGCCTCCGCCTCACTCTTCCAGACCATATTATGAGAGACAGAAGCACAGAGATGAATGGCGGGGCCTCAGGTGGTCACTTCCTCTTGTTCCTGACTTCTCTTGCTCCCAAGAGAAACATAATCCAAATACTTCATGGCACTGGGCTCAGACAACCCAGGGTGTCTGCCCTACTCTTAGACTGCCCCCGCGCTGGCGTCCTCTGAGGTGGGCTGCTGTCCCCTCGGCCGCCCCCGTTGCCTTGCTGCTGACCACCTCAGCTTCTGCTTGACCTCTTGGGCTGGGAAGTGAAGGCTTCAGACTCCCACTGTCGAGGCTAGCGGGCCCGGGAGCCACTCTGTGTCTTTAAAGGTGATGTGTTTCTCTCTGCCGTGGTCCTCTGCCATTTTGTAACTTAACTCTGAGATGGTGGTTTCATGTCCGTGTTCTTGGGCATGTACTGACTATTTTGAATGCCTACCTCCTGCGGTGCCCTTGGGAAGTGAAGTGACAGGTGCTTCAACAATACATGCTACCCACGGAAATCTAGTGTTTTCACAGAGTGTTTTCAAATCCACAAATAAGAATAGCAGTGCTCACTGCCGACAGTGACTGTGTACACGTCCTGTGCTAGGCACGGGATGGTCTACACTTCACTAGGATCATTTGTCTTAAAAGCCTTAAGGCAGGTGGCTAGGCTAAGTGAGTTTCAGTAACTTCCTTAAGAAAACATAATAATAATGAAAAGAACTGGCAGGCCTGGGATTTGAACCCAGCTCTGTCTGCTCTGAAGCCTCTCTTGTTAACTACACTCCACTGCCTTGGCAGAGACTGACACCCAGGAGGTACACAGGACCACGTTCATTGTCCATTGTCCCATTTACAGAGGAGAGAAAACAGACCCTCTGCCCAGGAGTCTTTCCACTCAACTGCCTTCTGACGCTGTTCTCAGGGAGTGTCCTGACAGGACAAAGTGTTGGAATTTACAAATAATTCCAGTGATGGCAGAACAGAAGGTTGAGACAGACAGGACCACGGGAGCCAGGGGAGCTCGCATGGAGGGAGAACGTGGATTATTTTCATTTTTCCTCAACTATCCCCCTGGCTGGACTGGTGAGGACACCAGATGAATGACACGAGAGCCTCGGTGTGGCCGGGGGCCAGGCAGCGGGGCCATTTGCTTGGGCTGTGCGGATTCTGCACATCTGCACAGGAGCTGGCATACTCCACAGGGAGTGCACCCACCCATCCATTCACTCGCCACCCACGCGGTTGGCCCCCTCCTGGCAAAGCCAGTGCACGCTGAACAGATGTGGAACAGGAGCCCTGTGCCCGGGTCCCCATGCGGGGAACAGAGCCCCAGCGGGAGCAGGGCTTGAGGAGTAGCCTCTCACCTTCTAGGGCAGGCAGAACCTGTGTTACGGGTGCAGGCTTGACTGCCCCCAGCGTGGGAACTGCTCACGATAGCACATTTCACCCTAGTTTTTACCTAAAGCGGGGCAGGGCTGTGTGGCAGGATTCACTTTGCAATCCAGCAAAGGACCAAACACTCGTGTGGTGAAAGGCCTGGAGACTGCTGCTCCTGCGCCTTTTAAAGCCTTTGTTTCTTTGTTTCTTTCTTTTTTTATAGCCTCTGGGATTCAAAAAAAAAATTGAGTCCGTCTTTGTGACAAAAGGTTGTTTGGAGCATGTAGTCATTTTTTTCCTTCTGTGTTTACCGGCGATGTCACGGCCCTGGTATAAGCTTTATAGGGATTCTGCAAGGAGGCTGTTTCTGTCACTGGAACTAAATCTGCCTGTTGGAGAATGACTGACTTGGAGCTGGCGCCGTTGCGTGCGTGTGTGCGTACATGCATGCGTGTGGGTGGGTGCACCTGTGCAGGGCATGAGAACAGCACCAAACGCCAGGTGGCTCTGTCTGAGAGGGCAAAGTCCAGGCCCATGAGTCCAATTCTGTGCCTAAGGCTCTCGATAACC